ACAACGACCAGTACAGAGAGAGCTGGGGATCGAACCGGCAACCTTCCAGTTACAGATGAGCTTCCCAACCCCCTGAACCACGGTCGCCCCACGGTTGCTCTTAGAACTGAAGAAGCTTCTCGGATGAGGGGTGAAACGTCTTCCAGGTAACTTGCAGAAGTCCAGACTCCTTTATTTCCAACCTCCTTAGATTATGATGACCTGGATGAGTGAGAACCTTCACAGACATACACTATTGGAGAGACAACCCCAATAGCTGTTAAATCCTCTGTGAAAAGGCAACATTTGGAAAGAATTTTACCAGGAAGAGGCCTTCTGCAGAATTGACTACCTTTCTGATTAGATAATCTGTAAATTAACACACACCCCTACCTTCCTATATAACAAATGATAGAGAATCAATTAGTATTTTACTCTGTTGTATGCTTGTTGATGCCTTAAGCAGCATCTGGTGAAAAGCTGAGTTTGGCGACAAGGATAAGCAGACTGCTGTCGCCTCTCAGCTCCCAGCTTGCATTATTAGAAAACCCTGTGGTGTTTTTCTGAGGATTTGATGCAGAGGCTATGCTCTTTGGCACTGTAGGACGACAGTTTTACAACCAGGAGTGAAATTAACCTCTTCTCAAGCAGAATTTCATTTGACTTTGAACACATATTACCGACTGACCAAATGCGAATCATTAAAGGAAATATCCTGAGGTCATCATCACAGAGCAGCTTCCTCACGTCTATAGCTTTAAATCGGAAAGACGGTGCCAGCCAGGCACCCAGAGAGCTCTTACATCACTACCAGGAAATTAGAGAACTTTACTGAAAGCCACAGTGACAAAGCAGGTTGCCTTGGCTGTAGGTTATCATGGGATCCAATTGCTATTGCAGCTAACGGGTGTAACAGATGACAGATTGCCTTTATTCCCAGTGCTGAGTCTCTAAGAAATATAGCACGTTTTACAAGTGTTATTTACAGCTTTGTTCCTGTACCAGGATGACAAATGAATTGTATTTTACTATGTTTCCACATAAAACGGTATGAAACATCAGGAGGCGTGGCACAGTCCGATAAAGCTGTTATTTGATCACTGGTAAGCAGAGGGAAACTGGGGAAGAGATCTTTGATCACCTTTGCATATGAGCAGTTTGAAATCAAGCTGTATGCATCAAGCTTTCATTATCCAAAACAAGGGCAATAAACATCAGGGTGTAGTTTTTTGTTTTTGTAAAGCAGAAGCTTTTTGTGTTGCAAAAAAAGAAAACAAATGTGTTGCATTTATAATAGTGACAGAACCAGAGGAGGAAGAGTTGGTAAAGTAATGTTTCATCCTTTCTGCTCATGCTTCGTCAGCTCAAGTGTTGATTAACTTGTAGCACTACCTGTGAGGTAACAGAGGAATGTGGAGTAGTGTGCCACAAAAAGTTGATTGTAATTATCTCAACATCGCTTGGATGAGTGAAGTATTTCTCCCAGATGAACAGAATAAACTTTCTAGCATTTCCTCATCTGGATGATTGAGCATTTGTTTCATTGTCACAATGGCACAATAGCTCTTCGGCCTCACCTCCCAGATGATCACTTCAATTCACTTCAGCTTTTAAGTGCAAATAAATTTTATTTATATAGTGCCAACACACAACAGTCACCCCAAGGTACTTTTTATTGTGAGGTAAAGAATAATTTTGCAATAAGTTTACAATAATAGGGAGAAAATCCCAACATTCACATCATTTCCTTTGAGAAAGCGCTTGGTGACAGCAGCACATAAAAACTCCCTTGGATTTAACAGGGAGCCTATGAAGAGAATCCAGGATTGGAGCCATGTCTCATCCTTTTTTCTTTAATAACCTCGTTAAGTTTAGATATTTTTCTACCTCGGACACTTTAATACTGCACCAACTATTACACCTTCTCATCAGCACCTCAGCACTGCCACTAACACATCCTTTCTTCTTTAGTTTCACGTTGGTGCGTGTACCTGCCCTGCTGCTGAACAGATGCCAGGTTGAACAGATGCCTACTCCTCTTCAAAATCTGCTCTTCCTCCCCCTCTCTGCAGTATCCATTGATTTTCAGGCAGCACATCTCTAACCTTTTTCTTTGACCTGCAGCTGCTTGAGTACACATCATGTTTAATAAGCCATGCAGCAGCACATGACTGTTATGGTTGACCAGAAAAAACCTGGTTAACAAGTCACAAGAGACATTTTACTATTCTAAGTTCAGTGAACAACCTCAGGATTTCATTGGAAGCATGTTTGGGAAGACTCCTAGGAGAAATATCTGACTGACAGCTAAATACTTTAAATAGCTGCTGGAATCAAAGGTGGGTGGATTAATATGACTGAATATAAATCTGTGAGTCAAGAAACCAAAACAATGAACCAGAAGATTGAAGCTAAATTAGCCAGTTTGGGAGATCAGTGATCTTCAGTATGGTGCAGTTAAAGAACAGTCAAGCACAGAGTAAGTGAAAGACAGACAGTTGCAAAGCAGATGAAACAGGATATGGACAGCAACTACAGGCAAAGCAGACAGAAGTACACACAAATGGCACTGCTGGATAACCTTCTGTGTAGTACTCTCCTCTCTAACTTTCCTCAGTCACTTATAGTAGCAGAATTTTCCTCTTCCACAATACAAGCTTAGCTCATCTTCTTATTTTCCTCCATGTGCATGTTTCTGTTTCAGTCACCTTCACATGATACCTAAAACTCTAAAACTAGTGTTGTGTTTTATTGATTTGTTATTTCTCTTCCATTTATTTTCACATAGGTATCTTTCCTCATGTGTTTGTTACCACTTTTTTTTTCCCACCTTAACTGTACTTCTTTCTTTGTGACTGGGGAAAAACACAATTTCTGTGACTGCTTTGTTGTGTACTGTACTACTTTCGTCTGCACTCCATCCAGCACTGGCTCCTGATCCAATATCGAGTCATTCACTCACCTGAATCTTAAAAGACAAGCATATCTGATCTATTTCAGCTTTATTCCACTTGATAACTTACTA